GTGTGTGTGTGTGTGTGTGTGTGTGTGTGTGTGTGTGTGTGTGTGTGTGTGTGTGTTTTAACAAATTATCTCATGAACCAGGGGATGGATTTTTATTGAAATTATTAGAAAATATTCACTGGACGTACATCTACAACTGATTAGCCTTTGCAGTCCGACGTTAAAAATGGCCGCCACAGCTAAGCAACCTTAGCCAACATGAACAAGGCTGTGACTAAATTATTTTAGACTGAGCTATATGGTGTAATAGTAGCTGAGACAAACATACTCTGAGCGTGAACTGATTGGGCAGGATTAGTTTTAAGAACTTTGCTGTTACACTGTTTGCCTGTTAGCAAAATATCTCATCTGTCGCTGTATATATTGTAATAAAACCTTTAGGAGGTAATTATTGGATGGGCGACTACATCTGGTTAAATATTAAAGTGTCTGTGATGTGAAATTTTTGTAATAAAACATGAAAGCGTTTTTGGAACGATAACATTGATAACATATTGCAAAACAAATTTCACATCGCTGAGATGAACAGTTGTTGAGATATTTACATGTGAAGAAACAGGAAGTGATGTCAAAGGGAAATGTCAGCATGTAAACAGAGTGTTGTTACAACAGGAAGAGAAGAATGTAGAGAAGAATCTTTAGATTATTTTTAGTCACCACTATCAAAGAGAGATGAAGAGTTGAAGTTTAAATAATTTTGTTTTAATAAACAGAGACCAACAAGTTTATTTTATTAATGAGTTCCCCTTTGATGTCACTTCCTGTTTCACTTTGGCTGAGCCAAATAAAAAAAATAGGCCAGTTATGTGACAAAATGGGTAAAATCATACGCATAATGCCAATTTTCTTAAGTATAAAGATGCTCTCTTTGACTTTTTGTATTTGAAGGATAGACATGTCACAGACACTTTAAAGTTAAGTCAGTTCAACACTATTACAGCTGACTGACCAGTACCAAAAGTTAGGAAATGTGTGTTTGGTAGATTTTCTTTGTTGTAACAATGTTTCTTGGGTATTAATCTTATACCAGTTTAAATGATGCCACATTTGTAAGGAACATGCATTTGTGGGATGAGTAGAAGTACTGAGTATGTCTCAAATCTTCTCTGCCACACAGCTTATATTGCTGTTGCTGTTCACTTGTTTTGAACTTCTGATGCCCCCATGTGCAGCCAATCAGGTGTCCGTTATAAGATTTATTACAAAGAAGCTTTGTTACAACAAAGAAACAATCTACCAAACACAAATTTCTTTGCATTTTGTGCTAATTTTAGTTGGCCATAGGGCTGGGCGGTATGACCTCAAATTCATATCACGGTATAAATTGAATCCCTTCACGGTAACGGTATATATCGCGGTAGAAAATTATCCTAAAAAGTGAAGATAATGTAATTTTTAGAGAATTTTTTTGCAGAAACCTGTAATCTTAATGAAACCCAGCATTTTTGCTTTAATATCTGCCTGCCAAACAATGAGCTTCTGTCTGCTGAACTTATCAGCTGCTGCTCTGCTGCGCGCTCATCTTCATCATCTTCATCATCAGAGCAGAAGCTGACTTTACATTAGCAAGATGGATTTACGACTGAACGAACGTCCACGTCTTTTTTAATCACCTCTGTGGGTAACAATACACAAAAAAAACTTTTTTTTCTCTGACAACTTGGGTGTGAAAAAAACTACGGTTGTTAAAGCTTCGCTCTGTGCGACGTGCTGCAGGAGAGTTGAGATGATCCTGACTTCAATTCTCTACAGCGGGAGGGGGAAATTTTGAGGATTTATTCTCTCTTTGTGTTTTAAAACACTATAATTTATTCATTATATTTCAAACGCCTCCTTCTCAGTTGTCTCTGCACTCACAGACATGCTGACACAGGCGCGATGATGTAGCTTATGACAGGACGGTAGAGGGTAAATTTCTACCGTGGGCCAACTTCACACCGTTTCTACCATTTACTGCAAATACCGCACAGCCCTAGCCAATTTTACAGATATTGAGCTAAATCTTGCAGTGATAGTACTCTAGTTTCTCTATCTCTACCTCCATCTTTGACCAGTTATTTTTAGTCTGGTCACAGAGGCAACAGGTCCAGACGAGAAACGCAGACACCCCCTCCCCACAGCAACACTCTCCAGTTCCACATGGGGGACGCCAAGGTTTTCCCTGTCCAGAGAAGAAGCACAATCCCTTTATAGAGTTCTGGATCTGCCCTGGTTTGTATCTCAGTGGGACAAAAAAACTGTAAAGGCTTCCTGTAATCAGATGCCCAAACCACCTCAACTTGACTCTTTTCGACGCAGAGGAGCAGTGGCTCTACTCTTGGCTCCCCCTGGATGATGGAGCTCCTCACCCTACAGCTGAGTGCAGCCACAAACCAAGCTCATTTTGATCGCTTCAGGCCTCCTGTTCTTTTGGTCTTTATCGAGACTTCATGACCCTAGCTAGGTGAGAGCTGGAACGTAGACGGGGCAGTAAATCAGTAAAGTATCATCATCTCTAAATGACCTAAATTTAATGTTGTGAGGGAAAGATCACATCTGTCACAGAATCTCCTCTTTTTGTCTGTTGGAATCCTGTTTTGGAAAATGTAGGTGTTTGTGTGCATGTCTTGTCTTGTTTGAACTATTTGTGTTCAGAACCACTGTTGCATAACTGTTGAGTGTAAAGACTTTCTTTTAGGTTTTGTCTGGGGGTGAAGAAAGTCTAAGTGGACTCAGTGGGGCCTGTGCATGCTTGCTCAGATTAACACGAAGCCGTTAATCGGTATCTTCCTGCTGTTTGCCTCACGTGGCTCAAATTTTGGACAAATGCCCACAAAGGTTGTTTCTGACAGGATGTCCATGGAAAAAAGGTTGAGCTCAACGTTGGATTCTTTTGATTTTCTGCATATCTGTGTGTGTGTGTGGGCATGTTTTTGCTACATTGTGGAAACCATTTTCCAGAAAAAGGCAGCATCGTGGGGACCAATGCCCGGTCCCCACGGGTACGGATGTTATTTTCAGGTGGTGGGGTTTGGTTTAGGACCAAGGTGTGAATTGAGTTTAGGTTAGTTTTAGGGTAAATGGTCAGGGTTAGGCCATACAATTACCAGAAAATGAATGGAAGTCAATCTACGGTCCCCACAGGGATATAAAGACAAACCTGTGTGTGTGTGAGAGAGAACATGAAACACTGACTGAGGTTAAAACACAGTTTATCCAATGAGAACATTGCAACATTTATACATAGTTTTTGCATGTTTGTCTCATCTGTTAAATGACAGCGAGGAATGATTGTTCTATCCACAAAAACCCCCAGTTCTCATTTAGTTATTATATCTCCAGGTTTAAAAGAAAAGTGGGATGAAAATTTGCAGGTAGGTGTGACATCATGATGACTTTTTGATTAGCTGTTATAATTAATAAAAATGTCAGTCAGTAGTTTGAGTCGGTTGTGAAATCGGATGATTCGTCATGTTATGATA